TCCATAAACCAGAGTGGCAGAGTCCAAAATTTAATTTCCTTGCAAAGCCACGTTATTACTTCTACAAATTGATTGTGGCAACCAGGAGAGTTTCTCTATTGTATCATGAAGAGGTGGAGAAATTGGTGAGGGAATTTGGGTGTAATCCATGAATTACGTTTTTTTGGGATTCAACATTGATGGAATGGGACACTTTGATGCTAGATGTCGATATCCGTCAAGGAGAGGGGAGCAAAAGAAAAACTTCTTTGGTTGAACTCTGAGTTAGATTAGAAACTCAGACAAAATCAACGTGAAATATCTGCTTCAATTCCAGTTTTTAGGTGACTTATTTCTTTCTTTCTCTTTCTTTTCTTGAGTCATGGGGAGATTGCTCTAATTTATTGCTTAATAGTTTCAGCCAAAATAAATCTACCACACTACTTTGACTTTCATCTCCTGCTTGCTATAGAAAGACATATGGTGCAAACCTGACCCATCATTAAGAGAATTATAAAAGTGGAACCAATAAGTCATCAAACTGATATAGTAATTTCCAGTTTTCCACTTACGTGGAATTAATATAATCTTGAGAGCTATTGCAGTTGTTATTCCCAGAGTGGCTGACCATATTCAATGCATGATCTCTTTTACTTTAAGTGTCCAGCACACTGTTAGATTTGGGGTTTAAGTTTTATGCCATTATGGGAGTGGTTATAATATCAATATAATGTCTTGTTGATCCAAGCCATTCTAACACTCCGAGCCATTGGGGGCATTCTTCCCTTTTTCTCATGCAACTTCAATATTGTGCTGTAAGAAAGATTTATTAAGTTCCTCCATCATTAATGGTTCAGGTCAAAAAAAGGGCTCAGATGCTGTCCTAGGGTGTCATTCTCATTAAGAAAAATGCCAGTTAGGTATAGCTATTCTAGTATTTTACTTTAAAGGGACTAGTTCTATATATGTTTGCAACAGCTAACAGAACTGATTAGCTTAACTTAATGCATACTGTCTGCTCACCTTGAAGTTTTGATGGACCCGGCACTACAAAAGAGCAAGTATGCATGAGGAGCATGCCCAAAACTGACTAAAACACTCGATCACAGGAATTGGGCCAAGACAGGACCTACCACCCCGAGTTCTATCAAATTTCTCTAAGAATGAGATTATATATTGATGGGCATTCAAGTAAGTTGGGTAACGCCTCCCCTATTGAGGTGAGAGAACCAATTCATTCAAGTGCGCATATGTAGAATTTAGACATCTCAATGCCTTGGGGTTAGTTGTGGAAATTGGAAACTAGTATTCCCAGTTTCAGTTTCTGTCGGTGCGAAGCATTTGCAGTTGCAGTGTATTCTGGCATGCCTATGATTGATAACTTTCGTGTACCAAGTTAGTCCTCTCTGCATTGTGTTACTAAGTTATTGACTAAATGTACCCGTCTCTGACCCTGCCTTCTTGTGCTGATGCCTTGATTTCTTCATGATTGTAGTGATACCGATGAATGCAAATCCTTGTGATCTCTTTCTTTCTTTGTGTTTCAATGGATTTTTCACTTGTCTGAAAGAATTAGTAACTGAAGACAACCTTTTTTTAAAATGAAATACTGCAGTGACTTCTATTACTGAGGCAAATTGGCAGTCACTAGTCCTGGAATCTGAATCTCCTGTTTTGGTTGAATTCTGGGCCCCATGGTGTGGCCCCTGCCGTATGATTCACCCTATAATTGATGAAATAGCACAGCAATATGCAGGAAAGATGAAGTGCTACAAGCTTAACACTGATGAGAGCCCTTCGGTCGCAAGTCAATACGGGATCAGAAGTATCCCAACCGTCATTATCTTCAAAAATGGTGAGAAGAAAGAAGCAATTATTGGTGCTGTGCCCAAATCAACGTTGACCACCAGCATAGAAAAATTCTGTTGAGATGATTAGCATGTAAGTTGTATGTTGGAAGTAAAGCTATTGTTATTTTTAGCTTCTTTCATCTTAATGCAGATGTCTTAAGTTTGGATAATTTGCTTTGTTAATATTAAATTTGCACAAGTTTTCTGGCGAAGAAGGTTTGGGAAAACCATTTTAGAGTTAGTTATACTTTCCTTCAATTTGTTTTACAGCTCCTGTACGGAGCCTAACAATACTAACAGAATAAAGTTATTGGGCTAGTAGTGCTAAAAAAGCAAAATCAAAGTATTCGGTTAAAAGAGAAAAATATACGGGTATCAAATAAAAAATTTAGGAAAAATCTGATGGCTTGTCCATAAAAGTTTGGGAAAATCTCACCAAAAAAGGTTTAAAATTATTAAATTTGAAATAAGAAATTCTTACAAAATATATTTTTATTTGTAAGTCAAGGCCTGTCAAGAACCTAATTTGAGATGTTTAGTAATTTCAATTTTTTTCTAAAAAGTTTTAACAAGCTTGGGTAATCACTAATCACAAAGTTTGAGGATTAATATTATATAAATTTGCAAATTAGGAGATAAAAGCTAGCCTCTTTGATAGTCACTCACGCCTGAGAAAATTAACGTCAATCATGGGTCAGTGAGGTTTGGAAAATTAAACGAACATGCCGCGCTGCATCTGTGTTAAGTGTGCTTCAATTGAAGCCAAATTTGATAGTCAAAAGTGTGCCTCAAATCAAGGTCATTATCAATGGATGATAATCACAGTAACATGTATGTTTATTGTTGTGATGAAATGTAGTTCACATAAATTTAATTTAGACAGTGCAAATTTAAAATTTTAGTTTGTTTATTTTTAAATGATGGATCTATTTTATAAAAAAGTGACACCTAAAATAAAAAATTACTTGAAATATAAAAAAATAAAGCTTCTCCATTCCCTAAGTCTGCGTTAAATAAGATAAATAAGAATGACTAGATTTGACCTTTAAAGGGTGATTGAAGAAGTGTTGTTTGAGAAGACTGACAGGTCCTGGTTGTAATTAAGAACATAAGGAGTTTATACTAGAATGCCCTTATAATTGAAAAATAAAATAGCCACCCAAGCCTTAAAAAAAAAAAAAAAAATGATCGCCATAAATCTATAAACTTAAAATTCACCAATATAATTTAATCATATCTATATAAAATTATAAGTTTTTCTAAGATAGCCTAACTGCTAGACAAGTATCCTCCATCACATTGGGTGTTTTAAGTAGTTTGGGGATGTAGACTCAGCACTATTTTGAGATAATATTAATGATCTAGAGTCCTGATAAAGCAACATACAATATCGCTAACAGAGTCTTGATAATATAAAATTTTAGCTTGTGGTCTGTTGTCACTGTGCTGGGATTGTGCTGCAGCCTTGCTCAGAAAGGCATGGAGAATTAACAGGGTCTTGATAAAGCTAGATACAATGTTCTAAGTGCCCCAAATACACAATGCTGAAATATAGGACCATGAGCTACATGGGTTTTACCTTAAAGAGAGCTTGGGAAAAAAGGCCTCTGCAAGATTAATTGCACTGTGCTCTCACTCAATGGAGGCAATATCGTTAGTTCATGCAAAGAGATTGGCAGGAGGCGGAACATGAATACTGAGGCAGCTTGTCTCGCTAACAAAGCTCTTTCAGGAGCGCTTGGCCTCTCTCTCTCTCTCTCTCTCTCTATATATATATATATATATATATCTATGTCCTCTTCCTTTAGATCAGATTGATTACTTGTAATGTTAGAGTAGTTCTGTTTGTTGTTTCTTTTCATTTCTTGTTGGTTTTTATCAAAATAGGAACATGCCAAGCTTGAAGAATCAAGTAATCGTCATGGGGACTATAAAGGGTTTCAATTATGCATTGCCCTAGTAAATGTCCAAAAGTCTCCTTGAGGGTCCTCAATTAAATGTCATTCTCAATCAAGGCCACATCCAATAATTGTTGAAGATTACTTCTCTAGCAAGTATGCCCTTGACTGAGGTCTTTGGGAGTAACAAGTTAGTTAAAGTTTGGTGTAAGGTCCTAAGTCTATATTAGGGTCACTAGCTCATGGATTGACATTTAGGAAGGCTAAACCTCACCTTATTTAAGAATTAGGAGAAAAAAATAACAGGAAGGTTAACTAGGTTCTCACCTTTTATTACTTTTTCAGAATGCTTTGGGGTTTATTGCTTTCACTTGGGTTCCATGATTGTTTATCTCATTTCACTGCTAGCTCTGTGCTCCACAGTCAAATCCAAATGGGCAAAAGTAAAGTGCCTCTCTTTTGCAAGCTACAAAATCACGTACCAAGTTTATAACATGAATTGAAACTATGGGCATAATTAAAATGGTAGATCAGACTCCACAAAATGATGATGTTTGACTTTGTTGTATCATTTGCAGCTTGCTTGAGGCCAAAAGTAATCCTCCTTCCGGTCTTTATTGCACGTATCTTTTAGAAAACAAGGATCATTCTTAGTATAAGTCACTTTATGAGACATTAAGCAGAATAAACAAATTTATTACATAAACAAATAAACGTAATGGCTTAACCATCTCATTAGTTTCGATGAAATGGACAGAGAAACCTTAAACTAAGGGAGAATAACGATCGTGGAAAGAAAAAAAATTACAAAACAGGTTTTAGAAGTTGTCATTCTTCACTATAAAACTTGTTATTACAGACTGTTGAGATTGCTATTGGGACCTTTTAGTAATTATTTTTCTTCTATAAGACTTTATTGTAATTCTTCTTTAAAATAAGGACCCGAGAAAATAGTTTAGAAAAGATTAAAGTTATGATCACGGATGCTTTCAACTATTAGATTTAGCCTTGGTTAAAGCGCACTTTGATTGATTGAGAAAGAAATGGGAAGGACTGGCTTCGTTGTAAAATTGATTGCGACTCCTTTTGATATGATACAATATCTCAACCATTATCACTAATTAATTTGAGTATTGTGTAAGGAATGAAATGCAAATATTCCTAACTTCATCATGACTCCAATGCAGCGCTGGATAATGTATAAATTTTGTTGATCACAAGCATTATTAAATAAAATCCTAGCTACTTCCTAAATACTACCTCCAAAATTCTTAATATAAGAGCTAGTTTGACATTCAATTTGATATTAAATATAAGACCCGCAATCTACTTTGTTTCTGATATTTATTCAATTTTTTAAAGTAGTTTTTGTGATAATTACACATGTTAAGGTTCCATCAAATGAAAGTTCTAAAGCTAATACACAGGATTGGTAATGATATTTTAAGAAAAATAATACTTGTACGTATTTATTATAAATAACTAATTTAACAAACTTTATTAGTCTACTCAAATTAATTAACTTGCTTTTATATTAAGTACTGGAGGTAGTATTAGTCATTAGCGGTTCTTAATCAATCAGAACAGATCCAATTTAAAATCACATACATAATGGCAGTCCCATTCGTGCAATTATGTGGTCATGGGGGATGATATTCCACTGATTTGTCTGCTGATTAGGTATCTCATTATAGTGCAAATAAATTAGATGCTATTTGATTCCATTTTTGTGGCCTCATCCTCACTGCCATCCGCCTAACATTATTTGTCTTTCTCCCTTGTAATACCACGGGTTAAAATTGAGCCACACCAATTCTAATCAAGTTAAATAACATCATACCAGTGTATAATTCTTTTAATATTCTTCTGATACTTAATATAAGACCTATTTAATTAATTTGATTAGATTAAAAAAGTTAGGTAAGTTAGTTAATTATAAGAAATATGACATGTTTTTCCTAAAATACCATAATCATTTTCCTTAATATCATCTCTCCTTTTTCTACTTGATTATGGTTAAAGGAGTATCTATATAGGTAATTTAGAAAAAACTGATAAATATGATAAATATGTCTTATATTTGGGACTAAAATCAACTCAATAATTAGATCCTATATCAATGACCAGAGGAGTACTAATTTTTCTTTACACAAAACTCCAACTTAATACTTCATCTAAATGAAAAAAAAAAAAACTTCATTTACTTGGATCAAATACTTTTTTTAGGTACACATATTTTTTTTTATTAAAGTTACTCTTATTTAAAATACTGTTAGATATTAAATATAGTCGCTCCCCCTCCAGTAAAGATTCACTATTTTGTAAGAGACTAATCTTTTCAATCTGACTCAACTCAACCTCTCAATCCTATTAATAATTAGAATGATAACTATTCAATTGCAAAATACTCCTCCGGTCCTTAATATAGGACCCAATTCTTGAGTTGATTTTAATCCTAAATATAAGACCCATTTCTCATATTTATCAATTTTCTCTAAATTACCCCTATGAATACTCCCCCAACTATAATCAAGTAGAAGAGGGAGATGGGGTATTAAGAAAGATGATTATGGTGTTTTAGGAAAAATGTGTCACTTTTCTTATAATTAACTAACTTACTTAACTTCCTTAATCTAATCAAATTAATTAAATGGGTCTTACATTAAGGACCGGAAGAGTATTAATTATTGATTTTCTAAACTAAGATTGGAGATTGCTAATCCTAATCAGACAAGTGTCATATTAATTCTAATAATTGAATCGTATGTCAAATCAAAGTGAGAAACCAAAACAGCAAAACTTATAATCTAAAATTTGAATGATTAAAGTAAAATGAGAATAAATTGAAGTAAATAATGATTATATTAATTTGTTTCTTTAGAAATTGTTTCCTACTCAAAAAACAAGAATCATATGCCAAGTCAAATCACCTACGTAAAAACAAAAGCACATCTTAAATTTGCCTGTAGTTTACCTTTTCTTGATGCTATTGGATGAGCTGGAGACAGAAATTGAAAGGGCAAAAAGACATACATGCCCTTGAATGTGTGGACAGAAAGAATAATAATAATGGGCATGCCATAACAAAGTGGGCGACAATGATGCATCCATCACCTTCAATGGCACGATGATCGTGAATATTCAGAATTTATTATGCCTCTCCACTCATCCCCATCTTCAATTGATTCAGAATTTTTTATTAAAGTATTTATAGTCAACTCGATTTAAAAGGAAACAAAATCTATTCGGCTCCCTGAGATCTCTTCTTCACAATTCCCAAAATATCAATATCAATGGGGTGTTTGGATAGAAACCAAATCATGGTTTCAGAAGTGCTTTTATGGTTTACGAAGTACATGCATGAAGGAGTTTGTTTTGTTTTATGAAAAAATGCTTCTGAAACCATGATTTGAAGGTTGCCAAACACACTCCAAGCTTCCAGCTTCTCATCTTTTTCCCTTTTTTTTTTTTTTTTAAATCTCATTCGCATCTTTAAATAAAAGAATAGATGACTTAGAATCAATATTTTATAAAATTATTAATGTAAAAAAAAAAACCTCAACTATAAAACAGAAAAGGGAAAAAGGGAAAATTATAAATTGTTATAATAATGATTTTGTAAAATATCAAAAATCTGAAGTATTCGTTTTTAATTAAAACCGTAAAATTAGAGTTGGGATTTTGAGAAGGAAAAAAATGGAGAAGAAAGGGAGAGGGAATCCTAGGATCAATCATACAGGGTGTTTTCTCTCTTTCTTTTCTTTTTTTTTCTTTTTTATAGAAAGAAGGCGTTTTCGAGTTTAGAAGATAGAGATAAATAATCTATTTTATTTTATAACTTGTCGTCCCCATTAAAATTTAAATATAAATAATAGCTTATTTTATTCTAAAATTTGTTATCTTCATGCATATTAAAAATATAAATATTAATTTATTTTTATCCCAAAATGTCTCACGTGTTGCAAATCAAAATGTAAACAAAAAACTTATAAATGTACATCAAAATTTAATATAACCAATGCAAGGCCCACAAAGCAAATAACATGCAAGAGGAGGCATTATTTAGCTTTTTTTTACACCTTGTCAATGTAATGCTAACTAAAAATATAAACACCTTACTTTATTTCTAAACATATTTAATTGAAATATTTTTTTTAAAAATAAATTAAATATATTTTAATATGAGATGATAAAAATTTAATAGAAAAATATTTTAGCCGTAGCCTTTTCTTTTCTGCCATTTATTCAAATAGAGACTTAGACAAATTCCTCTCTCTACCATTCACAGTTACTTTTGCGGTATGATTCTAATCATATTATGAATAACAAGAGAAATCATAAATTTTGATATTTGAAATATACTTTTGTTTTTCGCATTGCTATGCTTTTATTTTATTTTTTCATGTGATCGGAAATATTATTATTATTATTATTAATCATACAATTGTGCGTGGGTCCTGGGGCCAAAAACTAGTTAACAAGACATTGTAGTTGACGCTTCACTTTCCTTCTGTAAGATTAGGGTAATCTCTACCGTCCGTAAAAGGTGTCACCACCACCTCCTTCCCCTCCCATTACTTCATCTGTCTCTCCTTCTTTCCCTCTCCTCCATGCATTTATTCACACTCCATTTCTGAGTACCTTGCTTCTTCTGTCTCTTCTGGCATTTTCTTTCTTAGAGGTATCTTCTGTTTGCCCCGCGTTTTAGCTATTTTTGTTCTCTCTCTTATCTGATATTGTCTTCTTTATGAATGGAGGGAATAGTTTTACTCCCCGCCCCCCTTCTGGTCTTATTTTTTCGAATTCATATTGGGTTTTTCTTCTGGCGTATCTTGTTTTGCTCTTGATTAACCTCGATACCGGTTTTTGTTTATTGGATTCAAATTTGAAGCTCTGATTCTGCATGTGCTTTGGTTGAATTTGTTTCCTGAAGAAGTTCCAAATAATGGAATCCAGCTGTATCTTCGTATGCCTTCAAATATCTTACTTTCTATTCTTTTCATTACTATTGCCGGCGCCTTAGCGTGAAAGTCCTCTGGGATTTTGTTCCCTTGACTAAAGCTATTATTGAGAAGCGTTTCTTTGGATGAACAATGTTATCGCTTTTAAATGAAGAGCTATTTCCTTCTCTTTCATGGTACATTGAATTCAAAGTTTCTTCGTAGCTTAATGTGTGTGCAATTTCGTTTAATTCTTTGATATGTTTCTTCTTCTTCTTCTCTTCTTCTTTTTTTGGTGATACAATTCTTTGATATGTTTCAGTTATATAGATCGAAGCTATCATTTTCTCTGAATAAATTACATAGATTTGTGTTTCCTAGCAATATTTTCAACTTGATTTTCTATCAATTTCTTTCAAACCCTTTTCCTCTTCCTTCTTTCTCTGCATGGAGATGACGATTTCATCTATGGATTATTTTCCATGATAATTGGATCTAGGGAACTTTTAAAGTTGGATCTGCTTTGATATATTTGATCCAGTATGGCTCGTTGATATGTTCAATTTTTGAGCTTATTATCAATTGTTTTACCTAAAACAACAGAAAGGAAAGAGAAATGTTTGGTGATATCTTCCGCATTGGTGACATATGCATATTCTTTTGCCTTGCTATGTTGCTGCATGTAAATGTTATTTCTTCCATATTGAAAACAAAAAAACATATGTTCTTGTTATATGCTAAAGAGATCTTGCACTCATTGAAACTACATATATCCACCCAATTGGTGTTTTTCCTTGGCCCTCTCTTTAAAGAAAAGTTAAAAGTTGTTACAGGGCAAATTGCTGTAGAACTGGAAACAAAAATGGAACCGGCGTGCTTTGACTGTAATGGGGGTGTCTCAAGGAGGAAAAATTTGAAATCAATTTCTTCACAGACTAGCACAGCTGATAGTGACCATGGTTGCTTTGAGTGCAACATATGTTTGGAGTCAGCTCATGATCCTGTGGTCACTCTGTGCGGTCACTTGTACTGCTGGCCTTGCATATTCAAGTGGCTTCAAGTTCAGGACTCTTCCGATGAATCAGACCAGCTGCAACCTACATGCCCAGTTTGTAAAGCCGATCTCTCTCATACTTCATTAGTCCCTCTTTATGGCAGAGGTGCGCATAGTTCGGATTCTGAGCCCAAGAAAACCCAGATGGATATAGGAATACCTCGTAGACCGCCTCCTCACACATCGAATGCTACCTTAAATTCTCCAAGTGCATCTACTTCTCAACTGGGTCAACTCCCAAGCTACTTCCAGTCGCAAACGCAGCAATACTTGCCTCACCTTTATGGAGGATATGCTATTAATAGAACACCATATCTTGGTGTTGCAGCCCTGACTAGTCTCTCCTATCCTATTATTGATATGTTCAGGGAAACGGTCTTTGCAGGGATCTTTGGGAGTTCCGGTTCTAATTCATTGGCGCATCGTTATGCCCGTTACTACCCTCATATTAGGAGTGACAGTCATAGAATGAGAAGGCAGGAAATGCTCATTGACAAGTCTCTGAGCAGAGTATCTTTCTTTCTCCTCTGTTGTGTCATTCTGTGTCTTCTCTTGTTTTGAAGATATTAATGTAGACTTTATAGACAAATGACTTGTGTAGTCCTAGATATTAAGTACTGTTTAGAGATTGGCTGTAGGTTATGTGAATAGTAAATAGCATGTCTTGGTTTGATTTTTATCCCCCTCACTGTCTAGAATAGCAGAAAGAGAAAGCATAGATAATGCTTTATCCTTCTTTTGCCCAAATATAATGTATTATATATGTATTATATGAAAGTGACTGTAGATTAAGTTTCATATGCCTGATTTGGAGCCAAATGTGTCGTGAGGTCTGTGGACTAGATTGTTATGGGGAAGTTGAAGGGAGAATCTTAACATCAGAACTCATTCGTGTATGGTTGATGCCAAAAACATCGACCCTTTTTGGATTTTGTGTTTGAGCTGTGTTATATCTATTTGTAATGAGGATTGTGAATCTGGATGTTTTATATTCTTAAAGATGAATGTATTTAATATATTGAAAAAGAAATAAAGAAGAAAGATATGGTGGGTGTAAAGATGAAGTGTGAGTTCATACATAGTCACATTCTTTTTCGTCAGTTTTTGTCACTTGTCGCTAAATTCTTGAATGTGAAAGATCGAATTTGCAAGATTGTGTGTTGGCTACACTTGAGATTTGCATCGTAGCATATCGATGAAACATGGGTGGAAGCAGTAATCAAGTGTTTGATAATTTTTTTCAATCCTTCTATTAAAAGTAATCTTGTTCGCTGGGTACTAAATATTGGCTTTTTTAAGTGCGTTTACAAGTTGTATTAGGCTTTTGAACTTGTCAAAGCTTATCTGAGTTCTTCAAAAATCACAGCTGCACAACAAAGAAGGTTAAACTGGAATGTTGGGTGAACGGTCAGCATCACCAGCTCATTCTTAACTGGTTTGACATGCCTCCTTTGAAGAATTATAAACACTTCAATTTTTTATTTATTTATATTATCATCCAACTAATCTGGATTGTAATTCGTAGCTTTGTATCTCTGCAAAAGTTTCTCTTTTGATACTTGAATTTGAGACCAAAAACATTTAGCGAGATTTTACATCACTACTAGATTATTTTTTTTATTGGTATGAACACTTTCAATTCTTACCTTAAAATAGAAGTTAATATACTACTCCTAACTATCTCATCTAAATCAATAAAAAATATGGTTAAATCATTAATTTTATTTGAAAATAGAATAAATTTCTGATTCTCACTCATATATTTTTTTTTAAAAAAAAGCTAGATTTATATTACATTCTCTCTCTCTCTCTCTCTGCCTACTCACACATATTTTACCCGCTTCCTCTCCAAAAGTAATTACTCCTCCACTTCTAAATATAAGACTCTCATATTAGTATATTTTTATACATTTATTTAGTTTAACAAGCCTTCAGTTTATCTATATCTTATATAGAGGTTTTGAGCAGTACTTATCAATATGAGTCATGTGCTCAAGAAACTAAGAGAAGCATATGAATGTCATTAAATACATTCCAAATGACCCCATTCATGCATCATTAGAAGGTTTGAACATTGAATGCAATTTACTAGCCATTATTTTTGGACCCATAACTACCAATATTTTTAAAACTTTCTACCATTTTTTTCCCTTCATATCGGTAGTGTTAATTTAGTTCCCCTTTTAAACCACACCATATATACACACACACACATATGATAACATTCCACAACAACCATCCAATAACTAATTTGAATCGTTATAGTTTCTTGCCTCTGATCAACTTGGAGAATGGCCAAGAACATAATTTCTTCAGTGCACGTTCTGCTGTTTGTCCTCATCGTTGTTTCAGGTTCGATAGCTGATTAATAGAGTTGGTTTCGTATTAGAATATACAAAATCAGATAAATGAATTGCATTATTTATAATTTGTGTGTATAAATATTTGCAGCCATGAGGGCGTCAAGTGAGGAGGGGAGCCCGAACTGTTCTGAAATAATCGGTGAAGGGAGTTGCAAGGTGGAAGACTGTACGAAAAAGTGTAAAGAGAGACATGGAAGCTCAGCCAGAGGAGATTGCGTTCCCGTTGACGACACTGTTTATTGTAATTGTGTCAACTTTAATTGTTGACCAAACTTATAAAACTATTATATGAGCATGTGTTATTGAGCCGTCCTATTAAATAAATATATAAATAAATTGTTATCGGTTGCTCATTCTTAGTCTTTCAATTCCTGTTGAGGTACTGATATTGAGGCGGACAGAAGAGATTCATGGTGCTGGATATTTAGTTTTAGAGTATTTATTTTGTCTTTGTTGTTGTTTATTACTCCTCCGATCCTTATTATAAGACCCAATTTGACTTTTTATTTGGTCCTAATTATAAGACCCAATCCATTTTGTCTCTTATATTTATGTATTTTTTTCCAAGATAATCCTTCTAATAATGATAGTTTTAGCCAATATACTTAATTAGCAAGGATATTTTAGGAATGACAACACTTATTTATTATAAATAACCAACTTAACTTACTTCCTTAATCTCCTCAAATAAGTCAATTGGGTCTTATAATTAGGACCGGAGGAGTACTATTTAGCAGATTTCCACTACTACTTTTGTGTTTCTTGGATCCCTTAATTGAGATTTGACACTTCTTCAATTAAGTCTTAATTAAAAAAAATATTAGCTATTAGATTGTGATTTAACCATGTTGAGCGTGGTGTCACAAGTTTATTTTACAAAAAAAAGAGGAGAGGCTATCAGCTAACATGATAATTTGACTAATGGTGACAATCAGGAAAACTTCGTAAAATAAAACAAAGATACTACTTTGTCTGTTCTAATCTCGAGATAATAAATAATTAGTTAAAAATAATAAATAGGTTATAAATATATATTTTATTTTCAGATATATCCTTATAATAAATGAGAAAAAATATGAAAGGGAATATGTGTGTAAATGTGATAAGAGAGAAATAATTAACATCAATATTAAAAAAAATATTAAATAATTTAAGACAAATCCAAATTAAAACTTACAGAATGGACTATATTCCTTTTCAAATTTAAAGCTTATAAATAGTATAAGAAGAAGTATTTTATTAGAGACAATCATGCTCGTTACCTACTAAATATCAACTTCTTCTTTTTTTTTAAGTGTATTTACCGGTTGTATTAGGCTTTTGGTCTTCTCAAGGCTCATACGAGTTTTTCAGAAATTGTAGTTACAACAGGAAGATGGCCAACTCCCGGCATCCCCAACTCGTTTTTAATTGGTCCACGTACCTCCTTTGAAGAACAATTATTTTAACATGTTTGTATTAGGTAACAAGCCTGAAATATAATTGCCATGACAATTTTTTTTGTTTTGTTTATGAAGCTGAAGAAATATATGAAGAATCAACAAGCGGAGGGTCAATTTTCACTTTTTGCTATAAAGTTTGAATCTGGTCCATTTCCTACTTCATTTTTTTTTCCAATTTTTTTAATTGCTAGTCAAAATTATGTTATTTTTAAGTGAGTTTTTTCTTGTATAAAATTATTAATACGTATGGGTTTAATTTGTTATCATTTAATTTAAGCAATATAATACTTCAATATATCAAATTAAATTATACTACCTCCGATCCTAATTATAAAACATCGTTTGTAAACTATAAATGAGGTTTTATAATTAAAACTAGAAGTAGTATTATTTTAATTCCTGCTTGTTTTAATAGCCATCAAACCGTTGGCAAAAAAAAAAAGAATTAATAGCCATCAAACTAACTAATAAATTTTGAATCCCTATTTCGTTAATTAGTTTAATCGCCTAACCTGATTCCAGGGACGGGGATTGGGAGAGGCTCTTCATAGAAAATTGGCCATTGCAAAACTGGGGCAAAATGACATTTAAGTTTCTTATTAGAGAGTGGGTTCTTATTTTAAATATAAGTTAATATAATACTTCATTATTCCTTCAATCCCTGTTACAAAGCGCCACTGACTATCTCTCCTAAATTAAAAAAAGGTCGGTAAGTTATTAATTTTACCTGAAAATAGGGTAAATTTATATTAATAGCTTTTATTTTAAAATAAGAACCCATTCTGATTTTACCTAATCGAAAATATTTAAATTTATAATGTATTCTCTCTTATTTTTTCCTAATCACACCCTCTTGAGAAATATCGACATTTCTAGAAAATAAAATATGTTTTTATACATTCAACTTTTAATCAATTTTGACCAACTTTTTTAATTATAATTCGACCATGTATACTACCTTCCATTCATAATATAAGTTACTCTCAGAAAAATGGTTGAGTTTAGAATACAAGTCACTAGGTGAGTAATTAATGCTTATTTATTAATTTTGTCCTAACAATTAATACTTAAATATAATTTATTGTGTTTTTCTCTCTCTTTCACAGCCTCATTTTGTTTGGGTAAAGTTGAAATTTTTTTTGAAATTGAGACATATATTTAATGAGCTAACTACCATTTTTTGATCTTCATGAATTAGTTAAAATGATGTATATTGTCGACTAAAGCGGTACTTATTATAAGTTTCAATTAACTAGATTACATTCAAGGTCCAAAAAAATTAACTAGATTACATACAACAAAAAAAATTAGTTATAAAAATAAATAGTTTAAAAATATACTTTTGTTCTTAAATATACTGTTATAATAGATGAGAAAATAAATGAAAGAAAATATATTGGAAAATGTGATGAGAGAGAGAGAGTATAGCAAAGAAAAGAACATAAATAATCAAAAGCAAACTTTAAAAACACTTAATATTAAGACAACTTTAAATTGAAAGTAAAATTTTGTTTTTATTTGTAGGTCACTTGTAGAAATTTTTCTTTTTCAAAATATAAGTCACTTGAAGAGTAATTAATGAGCTTTTTTTTTAATTTTACTCTTATTGACTTAATAAATATAGAGACAAATAAAGTAAATAAGTGAGAAAAAATATAAAGCATATTTTGAATACTTTTTTTATAATAAGAACAAATATAGAAAACATTTTAATACATTTCTTAATTTGGAGGGGTATAGGATACACAGAGAAATATGATCTTTCCAAATTTGAGAGACATAAATGTCATTAAATACATCATTCCCAATGATCCCATTCATGCATCATGACAAATTTGGAATCCCCAGTATTTATTAGCCATTAATTAGAGTCTTGTGCTCAATTATTAAATATTAATGTACCTACTATACTGATGTATCCCTCTCCCTCTATATATTCCAATGAACAAAATTACAAGAAGCATATAAAGTACAACTATAAACTGCTAGAGTTGAGACTACCGTTGGCAAAAGAAACAAAAAAGATAGAGTTGAGACTACGTTGGAGATATGGCTGCGAAGACGATTTCGTTCACCAACATGTTGCTACTGCTTCTCATTGTCTCAGGTTCATGATTTTCTTCATTCCTTTCAATTAATGTTATCTTCTCTATTAAAAGTTTAACACTGATCATTAACAATTTCAATATAAAAAAAAAAGAGTATCATTGTTCCTTTTAAAAAAA